GGGGGGAGGCGGGCGTCGACCCTACCTTATGAGTATTCGGACTATAACAGTTCCGATGAACAGTCACTCACTTTTGACAGTTATACGATTCCAGAAGATGATCCAGAATTGGGTCAATCACGTTTATTAGAAGTCGACAATAGAGTGGTTGTACCAGCAAAAAGTTATATACGTTTTATTGTAACATCTGCTGATGTACCTCATAGTTGGGCTGTACCTTCCTTAGGTGTCAAATGTGATGCTGTACCTGGTCGTTTAAATCAGACCTCTATTTCGGTACAACGAGAAGGAGTTTACTATGGTCAGTGCAGTGAGATTTGTGGAACTAATCATGCCTTTATGCCTATCGTCGTAGAAGCTGTTCCTAGGAAAGATTATGGGTCTCGGGTATCCAATCAATTAATCCCACAAACCGGGGAAGCTTAAGCGGAAATGAAAGAGGAGGGTGAGGGAAGCCACTAAATTGAGGGCTTCGCTCGCTCGCTCTAACGCTCGTTTAGTAGACAGCGAGTGGAGTGCATAAGCCCCTTTAGAGATAGGGGTGAGTACTACACGAGCTCGTAAGTAAAGTACGGAACGAGCCTTGTCTACGAAGCAGAGCGACCTCATCTTGCTTGCTTCTGGCGAAGCTTCTAGCTCTAAATAATTGGAATTCTGGTATGGCAGGAATACTGTCGACCATTACGAGCGATAGCGAAGCCAAGCCGTATAAAGGCGAGCAGCCCTTATAGCAATAGCAAACGGCCTACTTATAGCCTATCAACAGGTCAGTCAATATCAGTAGGGGTCCTCTTGCCTAACGGAGTCAGCCCAACATGGACAATGATAGGCAGACCAAAGATTTACGCAGTCGTTGCGTGCTTGCTTTGCGCACCGGCATAGCAGAATTCGAATCCGCTGGCTCAGATGAGTGGCTCTTGGCTTCGTAAACATATCTATGTTGTTGCTTTTTCACTACCAATGAGTAGGCAGCTTTGGATGCTTATGGAGATATGGCTTTGGTAAAGATCTGCTTAGCGTGTGCTTTCTCGGGTGCTACTTAGAATAGAGATAGTCAGACTCTAACTTGAGAATGTTATAGCGCTGTGAAATAAGGACATTCTGATCGACCCGATTGGCTCTCGTTCTGGTTTGGCGGAAAGGTGAAAAGCACTAAATCTTTCTTCCTGGTTGGTGTACTAGGGCGAGGCGAATCCCAACCCCTTCGTTAGCTAGCTTAGCTTTCCCTCTTTTCAATCTATATCAGATCCTCCATTACTTCTTCGCCAATACCTTTTAGCTTTCCTTTAGCTGCTACTTTTTCCCAGTCCACGCCCAATCAGAGTAGTCAGTGTGCCTGCTCCGTCCTTCTTTGACGAAATGGATGCTGTAGGAGAGGTTGGGAAGGAGGGACTTCGCTAAAGATGGTCTGTCTGTGCGCGAGGAAGGTCTTTTTCCTTTCTCCTTCCATTGCTTGACTAGGTTCGCTTTGCAAGGAAGGGAAGGCATCCGTGCAGGTAGAAAAAGGCGGAGGTCAAGCTATGGGCACAAGGAGGTAAGGTATAGTAAGTTACTTCTTCGTCTTTTGCTTGTCATTGGATTGGAAGCCGCAGGCGATGCCTTCTTGCTTGTGTAGTTGGCCTTGCCTGCTTAGTGCGGAAGTGCGTAAAGTAGGCTCATTCTTTGGTTTATAAAGATCTTGTAGTAGCCGAAGGTAGTCCGCTTGTTAGATTGAATTGAATCTTATATAACAACCGGGGCCTTATTAATTAAGAGACTTTATCAATAGTATAAGTGGACCTCTCAAAGGTATAAGTAGACATTAGTCTTGCTGGTTCGGGCGGTAAGGCCCTGGGTAAGCTCGGGGTAGCCTGTCAGGGTGAATGCGGGTAGTGGATGTAGCTTTTCTTCTGAAGCGTCTTAGTTCGTAGCTGCCGAAGTGTAGCATTGAGGTGAGGAGCGCACTAGCTAGGTGGAGTCTCCTTTCGGAACTACTTCTTTTCCTTTCTCTCTCTGCTATCCCATCCACTGAACTGTCAGTATCGAGACAAGTTCGGAATGTTGGCTGAGCGTAGACTAGTCTGTTCAGGCAGTCACAGGCTTGCTAAAGCTAAAAACGGAACTTAGCTTCTCACTGACTACATCAGAAGCGAAATCCTCAACTTCAAATACAATGCGAGCTGGAACGGGGTTGCCTTAGCTACTGTGGTGTACATATGCCAGGAATCACACCATAGCCGGAGTCGATCGAGTGAGGATAAACCTACCTACCTTGGGGAAGGGCCAGATCTTGATGTAGAAAGGAGCTCTCAAGCTGAGGCGGAGAAGAAAGCTTACGATTCTGTTGGTGTTCAGTGAGCTCTAACAATCGAAGCGGCTAAAGGAGCCTGCTTTGGTGACCCTACGAGGAAGTGTTGCTCATTAAAGTCAGCTTCAAACTTCCGGTAACCACTTATCCCAAGATAGGTGGGAAATTCATTCCGGATGGAACTAAATATTTCACATTTATAGGCTTCGGCGGATGTAGATTCGGCAAAAGATTACTCTTCTTCAGGTGCAGATGAGGTTTATGGGGAAGAGGAGGCAAGGGCTGACGCTTAAGCATCGGCTAGTGGAACCACTCCTGTCCTTCTTTCGTATCCGAGGTGGGCTCTTTACACATATGATATGGAGGTCTAGTACGGTGAACAAGTAAGGTAGGGGCTCTTCGATTAGGCGAACCAGTCCAACTAGGCCAAAATACAACCGTCCACTCCCTTTCACGGCTTTAGCAAAGCTTAGGTCCTCGGGTCCAAAACGAGCCTATCGGTCCAATCCCTATTCCCCTTCTATTATTCAATGAAAAAAGTAGAAATTCCCTTGGCCTCCTTCTTTATATCGATTTCACAACTCTTTATGGTTGGTATAGGCAAGGGCTCATCTTTGAATGAATCCATTTTCCTCTCCTCCCCACTTCCACCTTCTTTGTATTGGTTTTTGTGGGAGATCAGGTCGAAAGGAGCGAAGGGAAAGTGCCCGTCTTGACCGACCAACTTCCGGAATGTCCTTGCTTGGGTCAGTTCTTCAGGGGTCAAGTCTTTTGACAACTTGTTCTAGGGTTACCTTTCTTAGTCACGCATTTTCTTTTTGCTTTTTGATGGGTCTAGTCCCTTAGCCTCTCAAACAAAACTTCTCCAATCGGCCTCTTTCTTCTCATTATTCTGTCGGGCCTAGGGTACTACGGCCTTTCTTATTCCACTTTCTCGAAATGTAGAGCAGCGAATCGAGAGTCTCTCGCTCTCTTCCCATTCCTTATTCTATGGCCGATCTTCTTGAATCCAAAGCCGGTGCAAACGATCTCATAGGTGGATCACGGGAAATCACTCGAGATAGGAAAGCATTAAGCAAGAAAAAGCTTTGACTAAAGAAGGCCGATTCCCCTAAGCAATTAAAGGGCTACGGCTTTCGCGGGCAATCGCTTCTTCGAGACCAATTCCAACAATATCGAGATTGGAATGAAATTCTAGTTAGACCCCGGCCGCTTTCTTGGAACTAATTGATAGGCACTTAGTTTTCTATAGAACAAGCGGGCGATATGCAGCATCAATCAAGGTAAAAAGGTAGTCACGGCCTGTGCTATAATGCACAAAAGCCCTCCACCCCACCAAAAAGTAAAGAACCCGTGGTGCCTGCTTGTGACACATAGGGCTTGCTTTTCGTGATTACTATGAAATAGATGGCGGACTCAATTCATCAGGAACTGGAAGGACGACATCTCTCTCAGAAAAAAGGGAAATAAAAGACGAGAGAATCCTGCCTTTATTTTGACTACCCTAGGCTAGAGGACTTGACGGACCACCTCAGAGGTCGGAAGAAGATTCTTGGAGACCACGTCAACCCTTGCTGAAAGGGGTATGGGGGACAAGCAGGGCATATAGCCCATAAAGAGGGGGAATCCGTTCGTTCATACGCACACCAACTGGATCATCCACAGCGAAGATAATACTCGAAAAGGGACTACGAGTCACCTTCTTTGAGCAATATTCTATTTTTCAGAGAGAAGAATGACCAAAAGTAGACCTGACCTGAACAAGTACATCCGACCTTTCGTCTTGATTCATAATCAAGAAAGACGGGATCTAAAGGCACGCAATTCTTGATCTTTTTAGAATTCTGAAGGACATCGATCTTTCGCCTTGCGCAAGGATATCTCTCTTTTCTTAGACTCCATAAGGAGAGAATAGTCCACTTGGGTGGAAGGGGAGGCCAGGTTTTATTTTACCTGGGCCAAAGACTGTCCCCTCTGCTCTTCCGGGAAAAGTCGCTTCCTTTTTTCGGGGACTTTTCCGCAACTCCTTATCACTATTTCGCTTTCTATAAAGCATAGTGTCAGTCTCCCTTACTTTATAGGGTAGGAGAAGGTATCTCAAATCTTTCCACTGGAGAACCAAACCAGGACTAGGTTAGGGGCCTTGAAAAAGGGAATTCCCTCCTATCTTCCCCTTGTTGAAGAAGGGTTGACGTAATGGATAAGGTTCAGGAGGTTACCGGAGCCGGAGTTCCAATTAGCAATAAGAGAAAAAGAAAAAAAGAAGTGAAATAAGCCTTAAAAGGCCAACCCCCGGGCAGAGTTGGGCCAAGACTAACTGCGAGTTTAAAGTGGTTTACTATGTATATTTCAAGGGAAAGCAGGTATAGGCATAAGCTTATGGGACTAAGGCGCGCCACCTTAAGCGGAATGGAGCAAGGAGTTATCCACTAAATGATAGAAAGGCTACCTTCTCAAGGAGGAAGACTTCTTTCAATATAAAGCAAGGTGTAAGCAAGCTTCTTTCCGACCAGACTGACCTGGCAAAGAAGTATCTTCCTATAGATAGCTCCTTGCTTATAAAAAGATTTATAATGAGAATCAGCTGAAGCTTATTCAGGATTGATCTTTCTTATCCGAGAGTCTTATCAAACTCTCTGCCACTGTAGGTGCGACACAGGTAGTAGTGACTGAAAGAGCTGATGCGGCATGATCGCGATTATAAGCGTCCTATTTAGTTTAGGGATTTAGGGACTAGGCCTGTTGAGGAACTGAGATGATTCATCTTAGTCTTAGTATGCCGGGTATGCCTTTGGCCAAGCCCAGGGATTGACAAATCTATAGTGGCGGGTCTATCTTCTTCTGGGCGAGCTGCGGAGCTACTTTTTCTTTCTTTCATTCCATCTGTCTTGCTTGATTGGTTAAAGAGAGCGCTTTGATAAGACTGTTCCGCAGAGAGTGTGGCTAAACACTTCTTCACCTTTCGGCCTTCAAAGGAATGGTCGGAACTGTGATCCCGATTAGATAGTTGCATTCTTCTCCTCTCTCTATTTTGGCTTGGGGCACTGTTAGGCTCATCTCTCTGAGTTCGTTGAACTCCTCCCAGGCGAATCAATAATGATTGTGGCTGGACTCCTCTATTCATCTATCAATCTCGTTTATGAATGTTATGATGGCCAGGCATAGCCGGAACTCTTTCGTAGGCAGCTCTCGAGGCAGTGGCTTTTTTCTAATCTCCCGCAGTCACCCACCATGATCGGAGCTGAGATGATTCATACTAGCTTGGTTAGGTCAATATCTGTACCATCGCTTCTATTTGATGTAATATAGTATAGAGGCTGAAGGTGAGAAATCATCAATTAAAGTAAATGCAGCTTCCCTGGCTTAAAGGACGGAACTCCAGCAAGAATCTATTGAAGAGTTGGTGCTGGGTTAGCCGAAAATCAAAGTTTATCCGGTCCCTGAAAAATTCGCTTTTTATGATTACATCGGCAATAATCCAGAAAAGGGTGGATTGTTCATAGCGGACTCAATGGAGTCAGTTATAGCATCCTGCTTCTTCTTACAAAAGAAATTTCATAAGAGAGATGAGGCAAAGAAAGAATTGATAGAGGTGCGTCGAGAAGTTCAATACCTTCTTGATCGAGAAAATGTCCTTGCTTGTACTTCTCTTTATTTTTCGAGATTGGGTTGGTGTTCAGTCTACTTCTAAATAAGTACTCCGCTTTGTTTAGTCTCTTTCTTCATGCAAGTCTACTAGTTGATCGAGAAAGCACCGCCCAAAGGGCCTCATAGAGGCGGTCACCGGTAGGCTCATCTCAAAGCTGAAATGAAGAAAGTAAAGTTCTTGCATTTTTCAACCATAAGGTTGGCTTTTCACTAGAAGCTCAGCCTAGAGTTGATCGACCAATTCCCCCGAGCTTAGGGGTCAATTACGGGGGAGTCGGAAACTATTGTATCTTTTCTAAAGCGGCATTCTCCCTTCTATCTATCTTGAATTGAATTATGGAGGTGCAATTTATTTGGAGGAGGTGGGTTCGAGAAGAAAAGCCATGTACTATTATATGGTGTAATTCTAGATCTCATTCGTATTCCAGTGGTTTGGGCTTAGATGTGGCCTTTCATTCCTTAGGGAGTGAGAGGGTAAAGGGGAAAGGGTGGGTGGCCCCCTACAAGTTCTTGAAGTCGGATGGAACGAAAGCGCATATAGGAAACGAAACTCAGACCTATGGTGCCATATAAGATAAGCATTTCCTGATCGGGTAAAGATTTCGAGATTAGAATTGAGTGAGGGCAGCGGTTCCTCCATAATAGCTATGAAAAAGGGAAGTGGAATTTCACCACGAAAGGTAAGGAAGAACTGTGGTTCAACTCCACAGCGTGGTTAGAGCAGCACCACAAGCCAATCAACCAACAAAGAGATACGCTTCACAGAAGGAAGAGATAGAATCCAGCTTTTGTTTGTTATCAGGAGTGCAAGTTCCCAACATCGCTCCGGTTGGAATTAGAGAAACTAAGTTCGTTTCGGTATGAGAAAATAACCAATCCTGAATAAGGGATAAGTCAGGCGTGTACAGACTATGGCATCGTTAAGCCCTTTTAATTAAGTGTGAAATGTGTTGTTTCAAAGTAGCTAAGGGAAGTTTGGTCGGAGACCTGATCTTTGGTCATATAGCCGTGTGAGAAGTCTGGTACTCTATTAAGAAGAAAATTCCCTGATCGTCTGTCATATGCGCTGCCCATATCCTGAGCCTGCTTAGAAGGGACTCAATAACGGAGATCTTCTTTGACACGCGGACCTAGTTTCCACCAACCCAGATGTACCCGATTCAGTGATGACACTGACGGTACTATCCCATTTTTTTTGGCTTAGGGCCTGATGCTTAGTTTCCTTCTAACTTAGTACTGATCTTTATTGTCCGATTTGCTTTCTTAGTGCTGACACCCTCGTATGCCGATCAACCAATGAAGCGGCAGAAGAACCTATTTGACAGTAATCTAGAAGGAACTTCAGAAAAAGACTGGAAAGTAAGGAACGAAGTGCTCGACCGAACAAGCAACGGCTGACGAGATAGGGGCGCGCTAGCGCTCAAGCCTATTCTAATAAGGGCGTTAGCGCATCCGTTTTCTTGCTGGGGCGTAGCGGTTTGAAATTTGGAAAATATGGAGAGTCACAGAACGAACATGGTGCGGAGATTGGAGGTGTTGAAAAAAGGAGAATATTGAGATGTTGGAAGATTTTTTAATGAACTTTCCATGATGCAACCGAGTTGCCATATTGATACAGCACAGCTACTTGAACGGTGAAGAAGCAGCTACCAAGTAGAGAAGAAAGAGAAAGAGTGAATGCAGTCCGGGTTCTAGTCTTAAGCAAGACAGAAGTAGGGCTTTCAAGCGGGTAGTGAGTCCTAAGTCAGAGGGGAGCAGGTCGCAAGGGTTCTATCCTATGGTGATCCGTTGGGCCTTTCGAACATTAGCTGCCCTTTCCAAGGTTTAAGCCTTAGCAATCTCAGTTTGCTGCTGCCAATCCTTAGCAAACTTGTAAGCAGAGGGGCTCCTTCCCGTGTAGCCGGCCACAACCGTGTGGGGAGCCAAAGGTTGCTGGCCTATCGCTAACTCGAACAGACAGATGCAGAGCTTTTTTGCAAGTTTTAGCAGAATTGTGCTACGTCCAGCAGCTGCACCCGGTTGGCACTCACAAAGTGCCCCACGGAGCGGTACTCCTCCAATAACGCATTGATCCTTTCGGCCATCTGCCCTAACTGAAATGGGGATGAAGACTCGTGGAGAAGTTCAGCTTTGATTTGACCCCAAGAGTTTGAATACTTCTGTCCAGAATCTTCCTGTGAACCTGAAACATTAAGTCGTTCAGTCGTGTTGCGTCACGAGTCTACAAGCCTCATGTTGAGGAAGAAAGATGAGTTTCAATTTGGCATGGAAGCGAAGGAAGCATTTCATGAAATCAAGGATGAGCCCTATTTGCCTTTCGCCCAAAGATTTTTTACTATTCAACTTCATCAAACAAACTGGAGTTAGGCCAACTTTCTTTTCTGGGTATGGCCACATCCGTTGGTGCCATATTTTTCCTTACGCTGGGTGGGTTCCATGGGTGTTGCTTGGATTCGGACTGATTGTCATGTCCTTTCCTTGCGTTGACGAAGATTTTGACCTTGTTGGCCCAAAACGGTAGCATGGTCTTCTATTTATCGAGTAATTCTCCACCCGCGGTCATCAGCTCCGCGGGACTTCTATATTTTTTTGCTCCCGTCAGTGTGTCTAGAGTGCTAAAAGAAATAGATATAGTTCAAAAGAAGGTGGTGAGACTTGTTAAGTCATCAAATGAACTTCTTAAAAATGAATCTTTTCTCATTGGGAGCTGGCTGTAATAGGACAGCGAGCATTTTGACCCCCAACGAGAAAGGAATGGGCATTTTCGGGCGGGGGGCGGTTTGGTTTCAAGGCCCTCGCAGCAGGAAGAGGCAGTTGTCATTTGAAAGGAAAGGCCCTTTGTATAGAGTTCGAACCCGCGACTTCTGGCGTGACAGACCAGCACTCTAACCGACTGAGCTATTTCCCCCTTTCGTCGCTACTTTGATTCAAAAGTAACCTACCGGCCTATTAGTTTACAAAGTCAACATCGGAGAGTATTCTTAACAGCTGTACTAATGCCGTTCGCCTTTGGTACTTCAGTAGGGCTTGCATACGAAGGGCTTGCGGGGTGAACGGCATTCTGTTGTACTACTAACACTAGCTGTACTAGAGTAGTTTAGTAGCGCCTTTTGAATCAAATAGGCTCACCCTTTCCGAAAGGCGAACAGCCTGCTTTGCAAGCAAATATATAGCCCCCGCCCCTTTGAGTCGTTGCGAGCCGGAAAGCGTACCGGCTGTTTGAGTCACGAAAGGAACAAGCAACGGATTGATTAAGCGCTAACGCGCTCAAGCCTATAGCGTTAGCCTCGCGCATCCGTTTTCTTGCTTGCTTAATCTTTTTATTATTATAATAATATATATATAAATAATATATATATAAACAAAGAAGAAAATCCTTTTTTTAGAAAATTCTTCATTCCTGGGAAGAGAAAGAAGCAGATAGAGCAAGGGCCGCTACAATTGCTTTAGCGCTAGGTCTCTCGAGCCTTGCCTTTTTCCATGTCTCCCGAAGAAGATTAAGAGCTGAAAGCGAATTCCCAATTATCTGACACTGGATCAGTAGAAAAACCTTTGTCATTACAATAGGAAATAGATGCGAAGCTGTTCATTTATCCAGTTGAGACTGCAACAATTTCTTTTGCGGGAACCGAAACAAGAGCTTGAACAGGAGCTGCTGTCGATATTGGCAACGTTTTTAGGGAGCTCTTTGGGAGCGAAATGACTGACGCGCTAGGAGTGGTCTTTAAGAGCCTGCTTTCGAGTCACCCGGTAAATTTACCAACCCTGTTCGACTTCATCGCTACGCCCCTTACCTCTTCATTGGGAGCAGGTTGACTACAGAGGGTTCCCCCCTAATTGAACTCAAGCTTCTTTTTATGCTATTTGGAGCGAAATTCACTAGAACTAGAAGGAGTGAATAGCTACAATTGCTTTAGTGAGTCTTAGGCCCCTAACCGGAAATACGCTATTTGGACTACAATGACTTTTGCACCAACTCTTCTGGAAGCAGGGGCCGAAACAATGCTTTAGCGGTAGGAGCGGAATCCCCTTTTGGTTTGGAAGGTTGATATAGCAGAAATTCAAGTTTTAGACCCCTCCCTATCAGTCCCAGAAACAGGCCTTCAAACGCGTTTTTATGGCCAATGCTGAGATTCTTTAGTTCGACGACCCAGGCTTTGTCTCGGAATGCTAAGATTGAGAACACTCCTAGCCCCACAGCTCTTTGACCTTCCCTCTGTTAAACAGCTCAGCGACTTGGGAAAGAGCTTGCCCACTGCACACTGATTGATCCGATAAAGCAAAGCAACCTGGCCCACAGCTCTTTGTGTTGGGGCTTGATTCCCAGCCGAGATAACCATTTCATACCTCCCCTGATCCTTGAAATTGCCAGTTGCCAAGGTTTGCTTGCTTGCCTTCTACAGCTTAATCCGCAGGCGAAGGAGCAGCAGAAAGAGCTTTTGCGGCAGCAGGTCTCAAGGGAGACTAGCTCTACAGAGCCTTACTGCTTGGGATACTGTGCCATAAATGGGAATAGGTCCATACGATCGAATAGGGTCTCTGCCAACCAGTGAGGAGGGCTTTACGCCTGTCCTTGAAGGTTTTCAGTGCCAGTAAGGAAAATGACCTTCACGTTTGCGTCGCCCTTTAGAGAAATAATTACCTTTAGGTTAGCTTTCTTTCTCTGCTCTCATTGCCCCTCTTCTTATTTGTAAAGTGCCATTCTTTCCTCAGCGCAGTCTGGGCCTTTCTGAGTTAGGGAGGTTTCTTTCTCTCTCTTCGAAAAGTGCTTCTCTGCATTGTCTCTCTCCTTATTCCTTTATAGCAGTAGGGAAGATATAATAGTTGATGCTACGCTTGGGATAGGTTCCTCTTTGCTTAGCTTGGTCTATTCTGGCTAAGCATTCACGGTGCCATCCTCGTCTCTAGCTCCAACTGCATTGTGTGACTAGGCTGCTTCGGGAGACAGTGAGGTTGTTCTGCTTGGGGAGTAGCCCGTCAAAGAGTCTTTCTATCTACTAAAGCATATAAAGGAAAAATCTAAGATTGAGGCGAGCTTATAGGTGTATTCGGAATCGTGGAGTGCATTAGCTGTGATATACTCTATTAACAGAACAGCCACTCTTCGTATTGGCTAACATGATGGAGCCCCTGATTAGAGACTTGGCGAGGTTGTGATTGGATAGAATCGTCTTTCCTTTTGCTATAAGCCTCGGTCTGTGGAAGCCTTAGCGACTTGTTCGCTTGATGGGTTCAGTCTTTAGTGGATTAGCGTCAAGCTTTTCTTTGTTCCGTTTCTGCATTCCTGCATGACCTAAATTTCAGGTATGCCCTTTGCCCTGAAGGAACTCGCGTCCTTCTCTCGTGACTTCAGGCGCTCAAGTTTGCGTCATTCATCCGGTGCTAACGGGTCACGTCGTCCACAGCCTCTTGCCCTACCCATGCTTTCCGCTTTCCTAGTATTACAGCCCTTCGTGTAGGAAGGTGTAGGAGCGAAGCCACTCTTGCCCCTTCTTCCACTAGTCTTAGAGCTAGGAACTGGGAAAGAGTAACCGAGAAAAGGCAAGAAAGAAGGAAGCTCTTAGCCCTCCTTTTGACTTTAGTTACGGGCTTACATGCTTCTTTCCTTCCGCCGCGAGTTCAACTCCCAGTCTCAGGTCAAATGCAGAAGAGAGACTTCGTACCTCGGGAAAGGAGTAAGCAACTTAAGACCGGAAGAGGTTGAGACCAGATAAGCGGCAAGAAGAGCATTTGAAATAGGAGCAGAGTCTGTCACGTGCAGCCTACTCTCTTCGCTCCCCTCCTCTTATCCTTCCTTTCTTTCATAAGGCAAGGCCTTTAGACTAGCCCTCTTCTGGAAAGAGATTCTATAGCACCGGAGTCGTGAAAAGAGCCCTTCTTTCTATTTTGTGCGTGTCAACTATTGATTCTATGCCATCAAAGCATGCTAACAGCAGAAATGCAAGTACATACAACTGCGGTAATGCCGCATCGTTGATAAAGAACCTTGCCATCCCCAGCTTTGTCCCCTGCTTAAAGTTCATTGGCATATTCCCCTTCCCCTTCTATTCCCAATTCAATAGGCTTCCTTTATTGATTCAAAAAGCTTCTTTCCCGCGACAATATTTGGACACTAAGGTTAGTTTCCATAGGGCGAAGCGGCGACCTCATTCATTCATTCTAACAACCAACTCATTGCCCTATTTTATCTAGTCTCTATAATTACCGAGACCCGTACATACAAAGATAGTTCTAGCTTATCTCCTTCTAAGGAAGTCTGAGCTCCTTCCCATGCTAAGAGCCTTTCTAAACTCTTGAACTTAAGAGAGGCTTCTTTTCAAGCTGAGTAGAAATATCGTATAAAGAAAATGACAAAAGAAATATCACACGGAGATCAGTGTACCCATATATTGATATGAAATCTCATTCTCATATATCATATATATAAACACTGATGCTCGAATCATCTCCGATCCGATTTAGCAAAGCGAAAGCCAATAGCTTCGCTATAGCGACTACGTTCCAGCTTGGATTTGGAAATCGAATCTCTCAGTCGGCGGGGGAATTCGGGACCCAGAGTTCTGTT